GTAACGCCCAGAACAAACATACTGAGAAAGAAGGAAACAATTGAAACAGATATCATCAGGAAAATCCAAGTTTAGAAAACAACAAATTTATTTTCTGATCACATCATTTTTTTCCTTACAACAGCTGCCAATACAATTTTTAAGCATCTATGATTTCTCTTGTAAGTTTATACCATCCGAATTCTCTACAGTTACTCAAACATTGATATTTATTTTGTATCGGTGTGTATATAGCATTGTGTATGAGCAAATGAATAAATAACGGAGGCTTGTCCCGAGATAAATGTAGAAATGTCAAAAATTGAAAGAAAGTAAAGACATGGAGATGATGTTTATTTGTATACGACTGTTCTCGTTGTTCACCTCATTGTTTGTACGCCTTTTATTCATTCGTTCGCTGTTCTTTTTTCTGCTTTCTAAAAAAAATGATGCTTATATCTAGGCTAAATTTTCATGTTTAACAAGTTCTGCTTGGAATTTTGATTTTAATTAATTTTTACCGTAAGTTGACAAAATGTAATGTAACGGAATGTAACAAAACGGCGTCTGCTGCCTGGCGTTGTTTCATGTTTGATTTGATCTTTCCATTATAAATAACTTTTACCTCTATAGTCAAAGTAAGGAAATATTTTTTTTTAAATTGAAAACAATCGATAATTTATCATAATCAACAGATCCTGACAAACGTTAAAGACCTGATTAAATTTAAAATTGTTGCCAAATGTTGTGGATGTTGCAAAAATTAAACAAACTGTTAGTTGAACAACTCTAACGGAAAATAATGAAACTGCATAAACAAAAATATGAAAAAAATTTTAATTGTACTATTTGCGTAGTACTATTTATTGGCAACGAATCATTAATCTTGGGCTTGCTTCCGTTAAAAAAGCGTTTAGGATAAAATATCGGGGATCGTTATAAAACATTTCCAAGCGAACGAATCACGTTAATCACACTAAACTACAGGCTTTATAAAGACACGCAGAGGATTAATAGCTAGGCGACAAGCAGCAAGGCAACAAACAATAGTAGCAGGAAAGAAACTGAAAGCGACATATACACAATTCACATAGCTTGATATATTATCAGAGATAATAAAAAACATTTCAACACCCACAAACAACCACCTATCTATGCAGCACTATTCCCCCCCACAAATCAAATCAGGTCCAACAAGTATGTTAACGAGTAAAACGTGGTGCACAATGAAAGTAACAAAAGAATATCAAAAATGTTTTGCCAGCAAAAATCAAGTCAACAATAAAATCGAAAATCTTCAAAGTTATGTCAACATCGCCCTCAGTGATGAATCCAACATCAATGTATCTATATACAGCATCAATAACACTCACAACGTGAAGGTTGTCGTTAATACACAATAGAGGCGGTAAAAATAAATGGCGCGTAAAAGATAGCAATACATAAGATGCATCGAATCATACAACGTCATACGGAGGTTTTTCATAAACATCCCATGAACATCATCCAATACATTTGCATTTTTACTCGCAAGTAAAGATAAATTTACGTCATTTCATTCATTAAAACCATAATATCCTTCCGTTGTTATTTATTTTATAATTATTATATGACTTGTTTTTGATAAATAATTTCAGCATTAAGTTTAATTTTTAAAAATATGACATCTAAAAAATGTTTCAAAGAAACTTAGTGAGCAAAATTTGGACTTTGAAAGAATTAAAAAATTTAGATAATAATGCAAACAACAAGCAACACAAACTTTATTTAGCTTTAATACAAAAAAGTTCTTAAAAAAATAATTTTTCCCTTCATTATCTATCAACAACTTTTTCACTTTTTTTGTATGTGTTTTTGTAGAAGCCTTCACTGGAATTCCACGCAAACGCAACACTTGAACATTTCCTAGAAGGCGACACCAGAAAATGTCTTAGAATATGCGTGGTCTCTGTTGCATTTGTCCTAAATACATTCTATTCATATTTATTTTAAATGTCAAAGTGAATATTTTCTTTATAAACTGAGTCGATTTTTCAATTTTTATGACACAGTCACAACGATATCATTCAAGTAATTTTCTCACAAAAAATACCAACTATGGCAACTTATCTTGGTAATTTCATCATCACATTTCTTGTAAAATCTTTTTAACCTTAAAAAGTTCTACAACGCCTTTTAATTTTATCATCAAAAAAGTTTTTAATTGTAAGCTGCACTGCACATGGGTGAATGTTCACCGACAGATGAAAAATGACTTTCCATTCACTTCTTCCATTCAGTGAAACGTCATTGACGGTTGAGCGCGGGCAAATGTGAGCTCTTCATTATCTAACCTTTCAAAACATTTCACTTAACCATCTTGCCATGTTTTCATAGAAATTTTATTATAGAACAAACTACCTAAAATTTGTCAGCCTCACAAATTTGAATAATCACAAAATTTCAACTTTATATGACGGTATTACAATCAAAAAGAACATCAAAAAATTACCGTTTGTAGTTAATTGTTTAACGTTATTAAAGAATAAACACAGCAAAATCCTATGAAAAACGGAGTTAAAAAGTCCAAACTAGCCAAACAAACAACTTGCGCAGTTGCTTGAGTCAACCTTGATAACAAACAATCCCAACGCAGTACATAACACGCTAATGTCGAATGTGCGATCGAACTGATTTCTACATGACGTAAATTCTATCAGATGGCAATTTATCAAAATCGCAGACAAGCGAGCAAGTTAAATCTGGTCATATAAGAAACTCACAGAATCATGTGTGAGTATATAACTAATTAATTAGTAGAGGAAGAAATCATAATGAAAATATGAATGTATGCCTTTAATAAACATGTCAAATAGCTATTTTGGAGATAACTTTTATATAGTGCTCAGAGAGTTAAGTGTGTTCGGTCGCCATGGAAATGGTTGTGTTTGGTGATACTTGCAATTTCGGAGAGTTGGATATCATTTTAATTTTCATGTACATGCCAGCTTTCAAAAGATTTATTGTGAAAAAGAAAGAAATTTGTTGCAATGTTTCGGAGAAATTATATAAGACATCAAGACAAAAACTGAAAATTAAGTTTTATATAGGGTCTATCAAACTTACTATTTTTTTTTACAAAATGTTAATAGTACAAAAAATATCAAATAACACTGACAACTGAATATCTATGGATAGTATAATGCAAATGATTTTTTAAATTTTCATTTAAATTTTTTATATCAAATATTTTTCATTGTATTTATTTCAAATCGGCAAACAGATCATTGTTGCAAAAAACATTATAAATTTTTTCACGAATTTTTCAGGTGTGAGGTCATTGGAGTGGAAGTTTGTATTAAAGTTATTTGCGTGTTTTATAGCGGAGTCGTGCCCAAGCATACAATTAGGCTGAACATTTGCTTAAACAGCAAATTCTTTCCTATCCGCGAGTTTCTTCAAATTACAATTGCTTGTTTGTTTTTCGGACACGTTCAGTTTAGGTGGTTCAGTCTTTTCGTAGATTGGGCCATGTTTACGCGTTACATTTCTTAACAAAAAATTAAACGTTGTTTTTTAATTTTTAAAATGTCCACTTTTAAAAAGAATTTTTTTAGACAGACAAAAACCTGACGACTTAGAAATGATATTCTACATGAAAGCTTAAAAACGTTAAGCAAGAAAAAACTATTAAGAACAAATTAAAAAACAGAAATTAGTAAAAACATTTTAATATGAACAAATAAATGAAAACAGTTTATTAAAAACAATTATATAAAAACAAAAAAACAGATGAGTTTTATTTTTAAAATGTAAAAATAGCAACGGCATGATTTCAAAGATTCTCTCTTTTTTTAACTTTCTGACCACCCTAAAATTTCCGAGAATTTTGATTCTAAAGAATAAAGAGGGTTTAAAAAATTTACATGAATTAATAATTTTAGGTGTAACAAATAAAATACATCACAAATTCAAATTTGAAAAAAAAACTTTAAAAAAATTTTGCGTTTGAAAGATGTACAAGAAAGTTTAAAAGTCGCATCACGTTTTTTTCTATGCAGAGTTTTGTATAATTATGTGGCTGAATGTATGTGCATGTTTGTAAACAGCATGTTTGTATAACATTTATGTGTACATAGTAAACATATAGACAAATGTTATATATAGATGTGTGTGTGTGTGGTGTGTGTGTGTGTGTGGTGTGTGGTGTGTGTGTGAGTGTGAGTGTGTGTGTGCGTGTGGTGTTCGTTCAAACATCATTTACATTGGTAGACTGTGCTAAAATTTAAATATAATTGTATATAATGTGCGAGTTTAAATCTTAATTCTGTGCTTTGTGTTGTGTATTTCTATATGATGTTTGAGTTTTGTACGCATGTTTGATTTGACTGAGTGAAAAATGAAAAAATAAATCATAAACAAACATAAACATTAAAAATCTAAACATAAAGATACAAACAGGAAACATACAAACACATAAATACATAAACGTACAGACATGAAATATACAAACACAAATATGAACATGCAAACAAAACATACAAACACATGAAACATACAAACGCATAAACATAAAAACATTAAACATACAAACACATAAACATAACCATACAAACATGAAACATATAAACACATAAACATACAAAAAAGAAACATACAAACACATAATCATAAACATACAAACATGAAATGTATAAACACATGAACATAAACATACAAACAAGAAACATACAAACAAATAAACATAAACATACAAACATGAAATGTACAAACACATGAACATAAACATACAAACAAGAAACATACAAACGCATAAACATAAACATACAAACATGAAATATACAAACACAATCATAAACAAACATACAAACATAAACATACAAACATAAAATGTACAAACACGTGAACATAAACATACAAAAAAGAAACATACAAATCCATAAACAGATGCATACAAACATGATGCATACAAACGCAAAAACGTAAACTTACAAACAGGGAACGTGCAATAAACATAAACATACAAACAACATGAAACAAACCTCTGTGACGATGGGTCTGTTTGTCTATCATTAAGACTGCTTCTGTCACCTGGAAAATAATGGTGGCAAAAATTATATGAACAGTCACGACGATGATGATGGTGATGGGGGAAATGACGATGGTGATGAACATTTGTAATGATGATGGTGTTGATAGTGATGATGACGCTGATGACGACGACGATGATGAAGAATGATTGTGACGGTAAACAACAGATCAATGGTATATAATAGAATGATGCTGTAACGATTAGGTTATATTATTACTGTTGAAAAATATTGGCTCTATTAAAGTTAATATTAACAATAGTAATTTAGAGTTATCATAATATAATAATTCTATAATAATGTAATAATTATATATTATTATAGTTATAATAATTAAATGATAGTTCATTTCGATAAGACACCTCTAGCAAAAATTTATTAAATTAAAACCATGTAAACTGCAAAACATCAACAACAATCAACAATCCTTTGAGGAGTGCCATTGGAGTGAATAATAATAATAATTTCATTAAAATCAAACACCAAATTTCCATGAATACAACAAATTTTGAAATATTTTTTCATTTTTATTTTATGCTTTATTTGGAAATAATACTCACATTCGCCATCATGTTACTCAATTCTCAACGCGGTGGTCATTCACATTTTTCAGCATTTTTGGATCACCATCACGATTACCGTTCACTTCAAAATCATCTAAAATCCTCATCCACGTTTCAGTCTCATCATTTGATTTGCATTTTACAAAATGATTTCGCATTAATAGTCATAATCGTAAAATTAAACATCGTCATAATCGCCATTTATTATTATTGTCATTCAAAATCGCCATATAATTAACATCAGACTGAAGATAGCAAAAATGAAATTGATGAAAATTATAGCAAAGATAATAGTAATAATAATAATGAGTAACAAAGGTGATATTAATAATGACAATGTAGCAATACAGCAGTACAAACCTTACGACAATGATAACGCTGATAACAATGACAGTGAGTAAGATGGTTACACTGACACAACACTTCGCATAATAACTAAGATGATAACTTTGCAAATGATTAAAATGACACAGCACAACTGACAGTGACAATGATGATGATGAGGACATAAATAAAGTTCGTAAGATGGCAAGATGGACAACGTTAATAATTTTTTTCCTCACTACGTGGTTCCGTGCCAACAACGGCTTCACCTTTATTGGCAAATTTGTCATCGTTACAGATGTCATTATCGTCATTTTTGTTCCATCACACCACAACTATCATTACTCCATCGTCGTCGCCGTCGTCATTTTTTGAAGATTTGTAAATGAGTTAGAATATAGAACATAATTTGTACTGAATGTAAATGATCAATACATATGTTGCGACGTACTATTCAATCAAAATAACTTCACTGTAAACCTAATTTTTATAAGGAATATGTCATCACACATGCACGCAATCTTCAACAGACAACGACAACGACGTTGCTACAATTTATTACTGTACCATTATCGCTGTTGTCTTATTTGGAGAATTTTCAGAGAGTGTCATTGAAGGAGAAGAAAATTTAAGTTAGCAGGAAATGGAAAATGTCGTTGTGTTCCTCTTGTAATGAAGAAATAATGTACACACCAGTCAATTTTCCCGTTGGAAAAAAATTATTCACAAAGAAAACAATTATTTGCGCAATTTTTTCAAACGAAAAAACCTGGTTGATTAAATTATAAAGTTGTTGGTGGAATTATTTTTGGTACTTTTCGTCTAGACAATCATTTTCTTTCTTGTTAGTTTTCCTGCTGGCTGTGTGTGAATGCTTTCATTTCATTTTTGAGAAAAATATGTTTTCGTCAAATAAAAGTTCGAACAAACATGGAGCAACATTAATTATAGAATTGTATATATATGTATATATATATATATATATATATATATATATATATTTTAACCAACATATATATATATATATATATATATATATATATATATATATATATATATGCTCGTAAATAGTGACAAAGAAGAATATGATGCTATCGATGAAGAAAAAGAGACCAAAGAAGATGACCAGCCAATTAAGAAACCTGACACCTAATTCGCATCAAAGTTCAATTTTACAACACCAAAGTTAATTTTTACAACGTCAAAGTTAATCTTGACTAAGTCAATATTTCCCTATATATACAGCAAGGAGCACTGACGATGATTCATTCGGAATCGAAATATGGCCTTATTTGCAGCATGAATTCGAAAAATAAGTTTATTTTGAATTTTAATAAACTAAACGTTCACCAAAAACTTTAGTGAGAAAAATCGAAAAAACAAACTACAAACATATTAACGCCAAACCTTCGGTAGAATTTATAGAATATTGTAAAAATATATATATATATCGTTTGTCTGTGTATCTGTGCGCAAATGTGTGTGCATAGTATTATTATTATTATTATTATTATTAAAAAATTTACGTAGTGCCCTTTAATATTACACAAATGCGCTTTTTGAGCTTAGTGGAGTTGATGCATGGAAAAAGTTTTCAATTTTCTGCGAAATTGTTGAACAGACTGTTTGGCTAACTGTTCCAAACCGTTAAACCTGCGACTGCAGAACCACGAGTGGCCGCCACCAACCGTGTCTCCGGCAATGACAGAAAAAAATTGTTGTCTGAACGTGTCAGAATACGAAGAGCCGTTGTTGTTTTATATGACAAATTTTTAGACAGATAGTGTCGGTCTAGACCGTATAGGCATTTAAACACCAGAAAGGCGATCTTGAACAACATTCTTTTTCTGATTGTTAGCCAATGAAGGTCAAATAGGGTGGGTCTTACGTAGTCAAAATGATTCTCTAGAAATGATTTTTGTCGCATATATAAGTATATGTGTATGTGTATTGAACAATAATAAAATTGAAAAACTCATATATACCATATTGTATATATACATACATATACATATATATATATAATAACATATACATACATACATACATTTATATATTATATATTTATATATATATATATGCACATGTTTATATATATGTGTGAGTTGGATATAATGAGCCAGCACTACCACGAGTAATTCGCAGGACATCCTGATGAAGTAATTTCAGCAGATTATCAGTTCTATCGCATTTCCAATCATGCAGGTATTAATGTGAACAAGTGTGTTTGTACGTGTGTTTCTCTGTGTGTGTGCGTGTGTGTACGTATGTGTGTGTGAGTGTGTGTGTGTGGTGTGTGTGTGTGTGGAGTTGTGTGTGTAGTGCATTTATGAGGATAAGAAAGTTTTTGCAAGTGGGTATTTATTTGCAGGCAATCACTAATTATCAGCGTTTTAATGACGTTGTGGTTGATAATTATTTTAATGATGAGAATGTTGACGTTGTAGTTATATCAGTGATTGATATAATGATGATAACACTTTTTAGATAGCTATCATGATGTTGGAGATAGCTATAGTAAAAAGATTAGGACGGCGAAAAGATGTTACAGATGGAGTTAGTTGTGGGGCTGAAATGATGAGATGAAGATGAAGGAGATAAGGAAGATGATGATGAAAATTGATAATGATGATGATGATGGTGATGATGATGGTGCAAATAAGGAGGATACAAAAAGTGACTATGACGATGATGCCGAAGAAAATTAATGATAACGAAGATGACGATAATGAAAAAAGTAATTAACTATGTTGACGATGATAGAATTAGTGACAACGATTACGTTGATGATAATGACGATGTTGAATGAATGACCATCCTTTGCAGCTTAATGATTTAATAGACAAAATTTTAAGGGATTGGACATAGAAATAAGAGTGAAAAATACAAGAAAACAGAAAAATATGAAAATACATTGGGAAAATTTTTAATTTTAAAAAATTGTATATTTTAAAAAAGATTCTCTTAGACGTAGAAAATAGGAATGCAAGAAAAAGCACCTAAAAATATTTTCACATTTTTTCATACAATTTTTTGTTGCCGTATAAAAAATAATGTTAATGAAGAAGTCTTGGCTGATTGGCTGTCAGTTTGCCATCACTAACAGCTGAAAAATGTGATGATGCGGGTAGTGAAAACATGTGAGTAGACAATGATGGTGATGTAATAAAATGAGTATAGAATGTAGGTGAATAGCAAATTATGATATGAGTGACGATTATGTGAGTAAACTATGATATGTTAAAATGTGTAATGATTACTATTATACATATGGGTGAACGATTATGTGATGAATTAAGTAACGGATTATACTTGAGTAAACTATGGCGTGATAAAATGAGTGATAAAGATAGGCGAGTGATTAAAGATAATGCGATGAAATGTGAGTGAAGATGTGAAGTGAAGTGAGTAGATGAAGATGTGATGAAGATAGGGATGAGTAAATGTCTTATTGGTGATGTTTAAAATTCAGGTGACAAAAAATAATCATCCTAAAAGATGGAAATTAATAAGATGATGATAGAAATGATGATAAACTAATAATGATAATTGCCTTGACTAGAATGATGATGAACGTTTGATGATATCTATGATGATAACAAGAATAATGATAAGGAGGATGAAGATGGTAAGATACATTTATCATAGGTAGAAAAATAATGATAAAGATAATTAAGATGATAAAGTGATGGAGAGAGGGAAAACTGCGTCAGAGAAAAAAAAGAGATATAATTAGATTGATAATTATTATATTCCATTGTGTGGATGGTCACACGTACAAACGAACAACAACACGAAAGCAATGATAATAAAAATGATGATGAAACTGTTGTTGATGATGATGAAGATGATGACGATGGTGATGATGATGATGATTTGTGATGGTAATGATTACGATGAGGATGATAATAATAAAAATGTATTATGATGTGATGATTTCAATGATGATGATAATTTTGATATTAGTGTTAGTTATATTGATAACATTGACAACAATTTAAAGAGACAACTTAAATAATTGAATAAAATGCATCTGAAAAAAAAAGATTATAAATCAGATCGTCATGAAGGTTTTTCCACAAAACAAGCTAATTAACAAAGAAACGAGCAAACA